GTACAGCAGTTAAGTGGGAGAACTTGCACAATTGGTGGCTGACTAAATACTTTTTTGCCCCACTGTATGCATCTCTGGCAGAAATATTTGAACATTTGAAACTTATACAAGTAGTCCTCACTTACCAAACACAATTGGGACCAGCAACTCCATCACTTAGCCCCGCAGTCACTAAGTGAAAGATCACATGACCATGCCAGATTTACAATGTCTGCTTCTGTTATTAAGCGAATCACCGTGGCTGTTAAGTGAGACATCACGACTGTGGCTTGTGATTTCACTTCTGCATTCTCTATTAATTCTGCTTGTTGGAACCCAGTTGTGAAGCTCGCAAATGGCGATCATGTGACCATGGGATGCTGTGACAGCCGTAAATGCAAGGATTGGTTGCAAAGCTGTTTTTTTTTTCAACTGTTGTAACTTTGAATGATTGCTAAACAAGGCAGTCAGTAAGCAAGGACTATGTGTATAGGCTAAGTCCCATTCTGGACATAACATTTTTCAATAAAGAGGAGTAGTTGACACATGATTACTAAGCCCTTTAAGGTACAACCACTGCAATTTCATAATTTGATGCATGACAACTTTCAGTTAAGCATGTAAGATAATGAACAAATATAGACATCTACAGCTGGCCCTCCTTGAAGTGTTAGATCAGCTACATCATCTGGTAGGCACTGCAAGGCTGCTTCAAAAGCCACTTCACTTCACTGGTTGTTTCTTCCAGCAGATGTCTTGCCAGTGCATGCTCACAAATCCGCAGATCATCAGAGAAATTCTTTGAAGCAGCTACATCAAGCCTTCCAGAGGACTCAGCTCCTTTCATGCACTGAGAAAGGATGCTTGGCTTGCACCAATGCATTTTCTGAAGCCCCTCTTTCAAATGCTTTGCATAGCCCTAATATATATGCATTCATGTGAGATCCTACCTAAGGAAGGAAATTATATATTATACAATATTATATAAAATATAATTATATGTTTCATATTTGGTCACACTGTTAAAGGCGTTCCTGTTCAATACAGTTACACTTTTTCAGAGAACTGTGTTTACTTACATAGCCATCTAATGCCCACTTGTTGTTTTCAGGCTTGTTCACAAAACCTTCTTTCGGATTTTTAACATGATAGATTTTCAGAAGCAAATGGGCTTCTTCTTTCTTGTAAATACCTACAAAGAATTGTTTTAAAGCAGGTTTACACAACAATGTATATTCAGGATATCTGTAAATGAAATACATTTAATTAACCATTAAATTTCATTTATATAAAACTGCACAAGTAATTAGCTATTGCTGTGCAAATATATGTAAAAAGGAGAATAAAATCCATACTTGTTATTGTAAAGCTTCTAAGCTGGACCATATGTTACCTGAGTGTCATGGCAATATTTTTATAACATGTCCCAATACAGTTGTGGCAATGCTGAAATCAGCAGGACATGTCAATTGCCTTTTAACCTGCTGACACTAATTTAGTTATATAACTAGCTTATTGCATATAATTCTGGCCTTCAAATATTACAGAGTCCAAATCTAGCTCCTAATTTGCCCAAATTAAGTATAACCAGACTTGTCAGTCTGTTTTCCAGGCACAGTCTTAACCACCCCTCTATACAATGCTTCTGCTTTAATTCTAGCACTTCAGTGAAACACTTATTCCTTCTAAAGGGATAAATACAGTATATTCAAGTTGAACATTGATTTACAAAAAGTACACAGAACTTTCAAGATTAAACATATGTTCAGAAAGCTAGTTGTTATTTTAAAATTATGCCAATGAAAAGACAGACCACTTTAAAAAAAATAAATAAAAGTAGTTGCATATTAACCTAAAATTATTTATGGGCAACAGATGTTGAACTATTTTAAATATGACATATTTCACAGAAATGATTACATCATGGAATGTTTTACCATTCTCATTAAAAAGGAATGATTTTTATGATTAAAATGGTACCAAAAGAAAATTATACCCAATACAAAATTCAAATGGAAATTGCTGCTACTGAAAGTCAGCTACTAATCAGCCATAACAAAAGTGGACAATGAAAGTACAGACTTTAGCTCTCTCTGAAAAACTAACTCCTTGTATCAGAAAATCATAAAGTCCAAACTATAGCAATACATTTGTTAAATTTTGGTTTCCATTTGTTTTGTTTCTTTTCACCAAGCATCTGGTGATCTCCTCCACTTAATAGATATCTTTTTCAACATATGTTTTCTAGATTGCCAGTTTATGTGTTTTATGTTAAAGAAGCATTTTTTAAAAAAGAAAATATATGACAATTGTCAGAGCAAAAAAGATCTCAGACAAAATGTATCTATCAAACTTAACTACAAAGAATCACTTTATTTCACAGTATTCTGAAATAATATATATGGCTAGGATTTGAAATAGCATATACAGGCAATCCTTGTTTAACAACCATTCATTTAGCAACTGTTCAAAGTTATGACAGCTCTGAAAACTTACAACTGTCACAGCATCCGCATAGTCACGTAATCATGATTTGGGTGCTTGGGAGCCATCAAGTTTACGATGGTTACAGTGTCCCACAGTCAATGTGATCACCATTTGCAACCTTCCCAACCGGCTTTTGACAAGCAAAGTCAGTGGGAAGCCAGCAGGAGGTTGCAAGTCACGGTCACATGATATGTCACTTAGCAACTATGGGTGATTTGCTTAATGACTGCAACAGGGACTGCTGTAACTGCTGTCACTAAGCGGGGTAGTCATATGTTTTGCTTAATGACCGCTTTGCTTAGCAATTGAGAATCCGGTCCCAGTTAGGGTTGTTAAGTGAGGACTACTTGCATATCCATGAATGTTCATGACACGTTAATCAGCATATCATTTAGATAGCTCCAATGATAGCAGTCTAATTTCTAATCTCACCTGATACTTTAAGTTGCATGCTGGATGCATCAATGAATGTGGCATTCACCTTACTGCTTGTAGCATTGAACCAGTCAACTGTAAGAGTTGCAACTTGTCTTTTCCCTAGATGCTCATAAAACCCCTTCCACAATGAATTTATAAAAAATACATCTGAGGGAACTGAAGAAGAAAGACAAAAGGAAATCATCATGGTCTACAAACAGATGTCTCTGTGTGTGTGTGTGTGTGTGTGTGTGTGTGTCTGTGCGTTTTATTCAACAAGTTATTCAGTACATTATTACAGTGTGCATACAAGTTGTTTCATAATTGGTAATATTTGTCAAACTGAAATATTTATATATTTCTATATCAGTGATAACAGAGTATATATACTTCTGGTAAACCTTGATGTACAGGGGTTTGGGTTTTTTTTTTCTTTTTCTGTTGTACCATGAATAATTGTGGTTCAGAGTAAACTGATTTGATGCATAGATTTCAGGTCCCTTCTGTTTCTTAACTTAAACTCTGCTTTTTCCATTTTCACAGTATCCCCTCCCCCACAAAATGTGCACGATCATGTATATACGTTTTCATATACATTTCTCCAATTTGATTCCTTTCAATACATAATTTGATCCAATATATTTTTTGCAAAAGAATTGTCCTCATGATGAATAGATGAGTAGGAAAATGCTAAATTAACTAAATTTGATTTAAAATGAAAACTCAACAAATTACTCTTTCTCCCCTTTTCAGTCTCTTTTTCCAGCTCTCCAAAAAGACATGAGGAAATAGCTTTTTTTTATTATGAGCACATTATGGTCATTGCAATGAAATAATGTTTTGGAAATAATGCATTGGAACAATATTACATTTTTACTGTTATTAAAAGCATTCATCCATTAGAAAAAACTCAAGGCAATTTGGATGCCTACTTGTCAAATGTTAGACATGATTAAATCCCATTTATTTTGGTGAGAATCATACATGAAAAATTAGGCATTGGTGCATAGTCTAAAACTTTCATTAAGAATTAATGTCTCTGAGTTTGAAATTCTCATGCCTACAACAAAACAATGTCTTCCATTCTGTTTACTCTCATGGTTACTTTGTCATGTTCTTAATTATGTCAGTTCTTAGCACAAGGGAAGCTGCTCAGAAGATGGTGACTCTGCCACTATACATTTAGGAAGATGCTAGATGGCTACTATAGAGGAATGATGTAAGAAAGAATGTATTTGGAATCCCATTCATTTGTATGATTTTAACAGACATTCTAGAAGAGAACACAAATGAGATGTTTAAAATATAGGGAAGCTTATTTGGCAGCCTCTTTTCCTCATGGTGGTAAGGTGGGCATGAATTCTTGATTTTCTTTCATTATTTGGGAGACAAGCAAAAGCAAAACCTCTCAGCAAGGAAATTGGTGAATTGTAACTCAAAATGCAGTATTCATTGGATTGTGCAAATTAATTAATATTTAATCTCAGATTACAGTTTTATTGGTAGGTGAGAGACACAGGAAACACATTTTGTTTAAAGAATAAAAAGACATATTGCACATTCAACACTGAAGACACATTGAAAACTCTGTAAGGTTATAACACCACTGAGAAGAATGCACAGGTAGTCAGATAATTATGAACGCCAGTCTCATTACATGAATTTTTCATTTTGTAGCATTATGGGCTAATGTATCCCTCAGGCTGAAACATCTAGGTGAGAATTTTATAAACATACTTGAGCAAGTTAAATTCTTATTCTCTCTTGGCATCAATATATGTTTCAGTGGTAACTGTAAGCTAGAGGAGTGGAAACAGTGCAAAGAAAACCACTGGGAAATGAAAGTAAGTAACCCTAACTTGTTTTGTGAGGGCTTACAGAGGATCTACACAGTCCAAACTTTGAAATGTAGTGAATAAATAAGCAATAATAAATAGTTTTAAAGTGGCTGAAATCTCCTGAAATCTTAGCATTCTCATCTAAAATCTTATGTTTTAGGTGGAAACAGTGAGATCTTCAAATCAGAAGATCTTAGTCATAATTTTAAAAATTTATTTAATTTCTATTTAATTTTGTGGAGCTGTGGACACCATCCAAAGGGATTGCATACACTACAACACCTACAAGCACCATGTGTCAAGGAAGGAAGGAAGATCTACAGGTGTTGTTAGGCTACCTCTGGGACAAGAAGAACATATTTAGGATTAGTGCTTTGTTTTCTCACGAGATAGCTTTTAACCTGCCAGGCTTCAACTGTCAGGTAGGGCTGAACCAATAGGTTAGGTCACAAGAATTCAAGAACTTCTGAAAAGTTGTTTTTTATTTAAGAAAAGTTAGGAAGGAAAGAATCTCAAAGATTACAGTGTTTCAAGAGCAAGGCCTATTTATAGAATCAGTAGTCAAATCCTTCTCTTATCTACTATAATGGGTTGCTCAGGAAGAACTAAGTCTAATAAAACTTGTGTGACTTATTTTAAGATGTTTAGTACAACTTTGTTCTGCCTTCAAGGATATAATGGCTATTTGTTTCAACTACTTTGAATGGTAAGTTTACATAGTAAGGCTGTGTGATTATCTGAAAGGTGATTTGATTTGAAGGAGACTCAGTTTCATCACTCTTTTGAACAGAATCTTAAAATCTCAAAACAAATTTAAATCATAAGCTTTCAAATTCGGCCAGAGAGTTTCAAAGGTGATTTAGAGATTCGATTGACTTTTTAATGCTTCTGGCTCTACAGAACGTGCAGATGTTGTTCCAGGTTTTCTTCCATATATTGGCAAATGGAAGGGAAGGAATCAGGTGATGCGATGGGTTCTTTATACTGACATGAATAGCCACTAATGAGTTTTATCACATCTACAGTGTTAGAGAAGTGCTGCTCTGCTGTTTGTGAATTGCTGTTTTGGTAACATTTATTTAGACAAGCTTGTATGGAGGCTGAGACAGAGTGAAGGAAAAATGAGATTTATTTTAATTTGTTCTTTTTTGTGTGCAATCATTTATCTTGTCCCTTTTATCTTTATCCTTCCTTATTTCTCTAATCTGCTAATCTGTGTTCACTCTGTCTGCAATTCTTCAACACTTTATGTTGCCTTTCCTTTGAATTCTTTCCACTCCCCTTCGCATAGAATATGTCTCTTCTCTTTCTTTCACTGGTCAATCTCTGTCTTGACTTATTTTGAATCAGAGAGTCTTCTTTACATCAGTGGACCTGAGGCAGTGTGTCTGCTGTTAGATTACTGCATGTAATATAATCTATTTCATAAGGTATTATACAGCAATAGTGATAACACATGCCCTCCTCAGATTTCTGTATTAAAAAAAATGTTGCACTAGCAGCACATAGGCCATCATTCTCAGAAGAAGGTAATTCTGCCAATAAACCAGGACAAGTTTACTAATCCCACCCCTCAAATGACCAGAAGGTGATGGAACCTTTTATTTTCAGAAAAATCTTCCTGTTAAACAGTTTTTTTTTCTCGATAGTTGTTTTTCCTCTATAGATGTTTTGCTGAAAAATTTGAAGGCTGAGTGTTCTCCTTTCCTTATCTTTATAATTTATGGTTTAAAAGGGAGAATATTTCAAAATGTTATTGCAATGAAACTCTGGAAGCTATCCAACTAAAACTTTGCAGGTTAAAGGGTCTACTATCCCTGCTATTCTTATCTCATTTTGAGAGGGAGGGAGGGAGGGAGGGAGG